TGTGAATGCTTTTCCTACAACACATGAAACCTTTCACTTTTGGGGGCCAGGGGGGTGGGTTATATGCACAGAGGTTTTACTTTTCTTATTTTAGGCAGGTTGACACTAACAGTGCAAGGAAAAACACAGAAAATTATAAACATACCATTGGCTCAAAAAACCACCTAAATGGCAGCAGCCCCGTATAGAGGTGCATGGGTGATGGGATCAGGAACACAGAATCTCAGTCTTGTTCCCATCTCTTGTTAACTTTGTGACTTTTCACATGATGTAATCTCTCTGAACCTCAGTTTTCATCTCTGTAAAATGAGGCTATTCTGCCTTCCCTCAAGTGGTGCTGAAGTAAGGGAATGAACAGGAAAGCACTTTATCAACCGCAAAGCACCATAAAGGCCATTTTCCTCCTTGTTACAATGACAAATGTGATCTTTCTCTCCAGGTTCATAACTTACGTTCACATAGCTTGCATTAATGTAATCTTCATTTCCCTGCAATAATACCCGGGTGGTATCATCTGTGGGGGAGAGAAAAATTGGCCGATTATTCCCAGTGTTATTTTTATCATATCAAGTAAACAAGAGTTCAGTTTCCAGCCCCATCTGCAGCTCTTGCCTCATTAGCATAAACACTATTCCCCAACTGTTCGGAGTCTGAAATGGCTGCAATAAAGACGGTGGTGTTTACAGACACACTGAAAACCGTTCCAGAATACCAGGCAATCTGTTTTAAAAAGGGAAACATTATCTCAGTGTAGGGGGGAAGGAGGCATTCATGCCGGATACTCACAAGGCAGCACATCTTTGTATCGGTTTTTGTCCAAATTTTGAGGCAGCTTTGCAAACGTGATGGCCAAACCTGGCTTCTTTCTATAGAGTTGCTATGTGACAAGCAGAGAAGTTAAAAAAAAAAAAAGTCATTGCAAAAAGTTATGAAGGAAGTGTGAAGATAATACTTTAACAGTGACATTTACCATTCGTAGCACCAAAAATCTTAGCATTTAAAAAAAGTGATTATGTACTATATATTACATGAAAATCTTCCCAGTAAGAAATTCTACAATTCCATGAGAAACTGACCAAATTCTTTGATAATTTTTTAAAACTTGAGGATACTTAAGAAAAAGTCGTAGGAAGGTATCTGAACCACAGTAAGTAAAATCTTATCTATAAGAGAATTTTTAACAAATTCTAAGTGCAACTAGAGAGAGAGGAAAAAAGAACTGTGACTCAATCAATGGAAATCATCTAAAACCATTTCCCTCGAATGTGACAGAGTGAACATCCTTTGCTTAAGAATAAGAGCATTTCATTCCTCATTTCAGAAGTGTATTTCCACAATAAAAACATTTATCCTGATATATAGTAAACTTCATGTAAAGAGGTATTTTCAATTGCATGTATAATGCAATTGCTACCGAAAGAATTCAAATAAAACAATTTTTCTGCCTACTAGTGCACATTTGACATGTTTGTACAGTACCCGACTTAATTTCACAACAGCCCTGTGGGAGGTATTGGTAGTATTAGGCTGTGATGAGTGCCAGAGGTTAAACGCTCTGCTCAAGATCAGACAAGATGATGAACTCACATCTGACTCCAATACTTGTGCTTTCTTTTTGATACAACTGTTTACTCCACTTTGAATGGTGTTAAGCCTTTTTACCAGTGATTTTTTTTAAAAAAAATTACATTTATTTAATTTTATTAATTATCATTATTATTATATTTGCTATAGTGCACATGCATTCACCAGAGAGGCAGATAGAGAAGAAAAAATGAGGAATCAAGCCGCCAGGTCCGGGACTCAAACTGTGGTTGGCATGGGAATCCAGCACCCCAGCCACCATGCCACCTGTCAGCTCTCGCTCTCTCTCTATGTGTGTGTGTGTGTGTGTGTGTATTTGCTTTTTAAGAAGAATTTTGCTATAAAGGCGTGTGTGCTCACCAGATATATACAGAGACAAAAAGCAGGAAATCACCCCCCAGGGGGATGACCACACCACAATCTCTTCTCTTCCATTCTCCTCCTGGGATCTTGGGCAGGCACGCGTACATGTAGTTTTAAGTGGCCAGGTCCAGAACTGGAACTGCAGTCGACTACGTGGGAGTCCAGCGATGTAATCATTACGCTATCTTTTGGTCCCTTACCAGTGATTTTTTAATGAGCTCTATGGGAATTATAAAACGTAACTTTTTTTCAATGCAGACTAGGATAGAGAAAAAAATTATTGGGACCAGCAGATGGCATAATGGCCATGTCGCTGGACTCTCATGTAGTGGACCACACAGTTTGACTTCTGGACCCTGTGGCTTAAGTTCACGCCGGGCATGTGTGTGTGTGTGTGCCCAAGATCCCAAGAGGAGAATGGAGAAGGGATTGTGGCATGGCCATCCCCACTGGAGGGTGATTTTTCACTTTCTGTCTCTCTGTCTCTCTCTGTTTTTCTGGTGAGCGCATATGCCCTAGCAAAAAATCCTCTCAAAAAAAAAAAAAAAAAAAAAGTTAATGATAATTTCATGACTCTGAGACAACCTTTTCATACATTTTCTCCAGCTTACTTTTTCTGCACACACATGTATACAAATGCAGGTTAATATGTAAACGCATATAACACATATATATGCATTATCTTTAAAAAAAACAATAAATGAAACTGAACTACATACATATTGGTACTTTACTTACTATTCTATGGTAACAGAGTCTTAAAAGAAGGTAATAGGTATTTCCTAGAAAAAATTTTAAAGTCCATACCAACTTAAAATTCTGACCAGCTAAGCATTTCTCAAACTAAGTTGGCCATGGTTGATCTTAAAATCTTACAGAAACTGTTCTGGGAAATACTTCCACAATTTCGAAGCCGATTTTCCCCCATTTATTATATAATGCATATTTCTCCATGTCATCAAACATTTTCCACCTATAATTTTTAGTGTTTCAATGATCTAGTTTACTATAATTTATTTGAACTTTCACCCTACTTTTTCATTGGGCTGTTTTCAATTTTTCTTTTTACTCTTATAAATTCTTAAGACAGAATTACTACATCAAAGCATATACATATTTTTAAAGTTTATTTCTTCTATGAGTGGGTGAGTAAACATATCCCTAATAAGCTATTTTCCCCTCCTGTACGTGTGGGAATTAGGAGGCTGGCCAGTGCAGTAGTATGTTATCAAGTTACTCTTCGGCTTCACACACAAGTTTGTGTGAATAGCAAGGTCTGAATGTGAAACACAGACACACTGCTACCAGACACAGATGGAAGATGAACTGTGCACACTGCAGCAGCCATGCCTAATGAGGTCTTAATGCCACAATCCACCTCCAGCTTTAGGCAGCTCTGGATCATACGGATGCACATGCCAGACATACTTGGGGGAGTCTCTAGATGAAAATCTGGAACCTTCCTCCCATGTGGGTCAGCCTTGAGGAGTGTCACATTTTACCACTACACTACTGTTTGGTCCCCAAAGCTTTTTTTCCCCTCATTGTTGTTCTTGTTTGTTTTGTTTGTTTGTTTTTGCCATAGGGCATGTGTGCTTGCTAGAGACAGTGAAAAATGACCCCATGGGGGATGGCCACACTGTAATCCCTTCTCTTCCAGTCTCCTCTTGGCTTTGGGAACACACACACACACATCTGGTGTAGCTGAATCTGGGACTTAAACGATGGCCGGCCATGTGGGAATTCAATTCTTAACCACCACGCCACCTGCTAGCCTGCCAAAATGTATTTTTAAGGACTTTGATACATATAACCAAACTGTCTGTAGGGACGTATGAGAATTGTTAGTTCCACAAATTGTGTCCAACATGTTCAACTATATGAGATGTCTTTGTGATCTGAACAAGGAGGCTCAGCATTACTTTCCCCACTATATTTTTACAAATTGCACTGTTTGGTAATCCAGCTTCTGTTAGCCTGTTTTTCTTTCATCAAACCAACAACCTGCAGAGAACTTGCCCAAAGAGAATTAACTAGAGATTTTTGGTCATAATAATAGTGCCATATCTTATGCATTTACTAAATGTTTAGAATTTTGAAACGTCCAAGCTCAGTCACTAATCATCTTTTTTTTCCTTTTTTTTGGAGAGGTTTTTGCTATAGGGCGTGTGTGCTCACCAGACAGACACAGACAGACAGAGAGACAGAAAGCAAGAAATTATCCCCCAGGGGGGATGGCCATGCCGCAATCCCTTCTCCTCCATTCTCCTCTCAGGATCTTGGGCACACACGCACGCACACGTGCCTGGCGTGAGTTTAAGCCACTGGGTCCAGGACTCGAACCGTGGTCGACTACATGGGAGTCCAGCGACATGGCCATTATGCCAACTGCTGGCCCAGTCACTAATCATCTTTACAGTTTCAGTTGATAATAATCAAGTCGCCACTGAATAAACTTCTTATCTACAAGCTTTAATAGACTCTGTGCAGTCCTTTTAGAAACTAACTCATTATTTATTGGAGGTTTTGGTTTGACTGTGATAGACAGAAGACAACAGAATCAGTCAAATTTACCTAAATGGCATTTCATTAGAACATGCAACCAATTTGACATGGTCTAGAAGAAATGCATAGATCTAGCAAAAGGTTTTAATTACCATAACACTGGGGTATTGGAAAAGTCATGACTTATTTTTCTATACAAAAATGGGTCATGACTTTTCTGACAACCCAATATATTTTTTTAATTCACTACAGGGTACATAAGTTTGCTGGAGAGAGATAAGAGAAGAGACAGAGAGAGAGAGAGACAGAGAGAGAGGGAAGATGAGAAAGTACCCCCTCCCCTAGGAGGATGGTCGTGCTGCAATTCCATCTCTTCCATTCTCCTCTTAGGATTTTGGGCATGTATATATATATATGTGCCTGATATGTTTTCCAAGCCATTGGGTCCAAACCTGACTGCACAGTCAGCCATTTGGGATCCAGTCACCTTAACCACCATGCCACTGGCTGGTCACCATATTTTAAATATATATCAGTAGTAATAATTTGTTGACAGGATTTTAAAGTACTAAAATTTTTTTGCAAAGCCCTATGATGGTGTTTAAAAATTTTAAAATATGTATGCTGCAGGCTTGTAGAAATAAAGGTCAATGTCAAAGAAGTTTGTCTGCAACAAAATATTTATTAGCAGCAAACCAGAAAAATGGAACTAGCCTGACAAGTGTTGACTTAAATTACGGTATAGGGCGGGCCCCAGGCCCCATTGGTTAGGGAAGCCAGATCCCACATGGATGACCTCAGTTTGAATTCTGACCCTCGTAGACTTGAAAAACATACTGGGCACATATGCTTCAAATCCGGATGCGAGGATGGAGAAATGAAGGAGAACGAACTACAGTGTGACCATGCCTCATTGGGGAGTGCTTTCTCTCTCTCCCTCTGTTTCTCTCTCTCTCTCTGGTAAGTTCACGTGTTGTCAATGTCAAAAATTTATGAGAGTCATGCAAATTTCTTTGCAAGTAATGAAAAGATGACTAAAATCACAGATTTAGAAGAATGTCCAGTCATCTGTTTTTATGTGAAAAATACAAATTATTGAATAATATGTGAGGTCTTCATAAAGTTCAAAGAAAGTATGTTTATGAAAAACCTATGCATGTATTTCAAAGCTTCTGGTACCAAAATAAGCTTATACTGTAATTCCATTTTTCCATGAACTTTTTGTTATCCTCTTGGGTATACAGTTGAGTTCCATTTAAATAACAGCACATAACACACTGTGTATACAATGTTTACAGACACAATCCCATGAGTGTGCACACACACACACTTATGTATGTGTATAAAATATATCTGGATGAGTGTTGGGACAGAGTATGGAAGGATGCAGATCAAATTGTTATTGTTATGTAACAAAGAAGGAGGAACTAAAGGGAGTGGAGATCAGGAAAGAAGTATTTTCACTGTTGCTATTTTGCAATTATTATGAGAATGATTATTTTTTGAAATTCAAATAACTGAAGTGAGAAAAAGGAAATTCAATAAATCTACTTATAAAATTAAAACGTATAGGGACCAGCAGGTGGTGTGGTGGTTAAGGTGCTGGACACTCCCACATGGCTGACCACAGTTCGAGTCTCAGATCTGGTGGCTTGCTTTCTCAATTTCTCTCTCTCTCTCTCTCTGTGTGTCTCTCTGGTCAAATTAAAATGAATGAATGAATAAAATTAAATAAATAATTAAAAATATTAAAACGTATAATGTTTTTACAAAAAGTTGAGTAAATGAATCAAAGTTAATATATTTTCCTGGCATTTGGAAAGGTCTGACAACATATATTGGGCTGTTGGAAAAGTCATGAAGTTCAAAGAAAATATATTGTTCAAAGAAAATATGTTTTTCATAAAATGTTTTTAATAAACATATTTTCTTTGAACTTTATGAAGTATTCTTTCTATGCAAAAATGTGTCATGACTTTTCTGACACACACCCCAACATACTTGTAATTATGTCTGTTTTGCAAAGGCAACAATGAATAGGACTGAAGCAATTCAGTGGAATGAGGTTTAGTTTCTGAAGGTTTTCAGGTACCAGCAGTTAGTGTAATGGCTGTCACTGGACTCACATGTAGTTGCCCGTGGTTTGCATCCTGGACCCAGTGGTTTAAAACTCATGCTGGGCTTGTGTGCATGCCCAAGATCCTGAGAGGAGAATGGAGGAAAAGGGATTGTAGTATGGACATCCCCACTGGGGGGTGATTTCTCACTTTCTGTCTCTCTGTCTGCCAAAAACCTCTCCAAAAAAAGAAAAAAAGAGTTGGTTTTCAGGGTGGTTGGCAGGTGATGTGATGGTTAAGGTGCTGTACTCTCACACGGCCAACCATGGTTCCAGTCCCTGACCTGGTGGCTTGCTTTCTCAATGTTCTGTCTCTCTTTGGTCAAATTAAAAAATAATAATAATGGGACCAGCAGATAGAGTAATGGTTACGTTGTTGGACTTCTACATAGTTACCTACAGATCGAATCCTGGCCGTGGTGGCTTAAAACTTACGCTAGATGGATGTGTGTGTGTGTGTGTGTGTGTGTGTGTGTGTGTGTGTGTGTGTGTGTGATGACGATGGAGAAGAAGTGATGTGGCATGGTCATGCCCCCTTGGGGGTGATTTCTTACTTTCTGTCTCTCTCTGTCTCTCCAGTGAGCACATGTGCCCTATACCAAAAATGTCTCTCTCTAAACAAACAAACAAACAAACAAAAAACCAGTAACAATAAAATAATTCAAAAAAAAAAAGAGTTGTTTTTTAGGTCAGCAGGTGACGTGGTGATAAGGGTGCTGGATCCCACATGGACAACATAGTGGTTTAAGTCCCAGATCCTCAGCTTGAAAAATATGCTGGATACGTGTACACCCAAAATCCCAAGAGGAGAATGTTAAAGAAGGGACTGTGGCTCGCCATCCTCCTTGGGGGGTGATTTCTTGCTTTATTCCTCTGTCTCTCTCTGCAGAGTGCACATGCTCCATGGCAAAAGTCTAAATGTGACAACAAAAAGAGAAAATAAAGAGTTAGTTTTCAAGTTCTTTTAATTAACCAACACTTATCCAGACCCCTGTGGGCTGCTTGGCAGGCTGGGTATGAAACACTGCTCTGAGAAGGGGGAGGTACTGGGTGGAAGGTGATGTGTTAGAAACACAGGTATGGAGGCCAGCAGGTGGTGTGATGTCCCACATGGCCAACTGCAGTATGAGTTCTGGACCTGGCTGTTACTTTCCCTTTCTCTTTTTTTTTTTTTTCCCTCTCGCTGGTGGGTGCATGTGTCCTACAGCAAAAATTTAAGAAGTAGTAATAAATAAAATTAAATAATAAGTAATTCTTAAAAAGCAAAGAAAATACAAGAGACACAGGTATATCTTTCTGGAAGGGGCAGGGGCGAAGGGAAAGA